TGAAATAAAATAACAGAACAGTTTATGTATGATAAGCCTGATATCAGTACTACTAATCCCACCTCATCTCTTCATTTGTCTGTGCTAACTAGAACATTTAAAATCTCTGATGCTCATGTTACCAGCTGCAAAGTCATACTAATAATAACATTTATTTTTTAGTTTTTTACTATTATACCATATCAAGATGTGGTTGATATACAAAAATGTCTTCCTATTTAATGTATACTATGAGTTTGGAGATAAGTATACAGCCATGAAACCATCATCACATGCCATAAACATATGCATCACCTCTAGTAGTTCCTTCCCTCCCTTCCTTCCTTTCTCCCTCCCTTCCTTCTTTTTCTTCTTTCCTTTCTTTCTTTTTGGTGAAAAGAACACTTAACGTAAGATGTACTCTCAGCAAATTTTAAAATATACAATACAATATTGTTAACTATAGGCACTATGATATATAGATTTCTATGACTTATCTATCTGGCATAACTAGAACTTAGTACCCTTTAACCAATACCTTCCCATTTTGGATGGCTTATTATGTGCCAGGTAAAGTCCAAAGGTACTTCACTAGCACATTCTGTCTGGTGATAGACACATCCTAATTATGTTTCTACACAAACAAGAAATAAGAGACTTCATTATATGATTCAAAATGCTCATGTCTTAGGTTCAGTTGCATAAGTATCAATCTCCAAAAAAAATCAGTGTGTTAGCATATAATCCCTGGTACTTGTGGGGTGGCTGTGTCTTCTCCTCATAACGATGTGGTGGATGCTCCTTCATGTCTCTTTCTTTCATCTCCTCTTTCAATTGGTAATTTTGTGTGTGTGTGTGTGTGTGTGTGTGTGTGTGTGTGTGTGTGTGTGGTGTGGGGGAGGGGAGAGGTTATATTTGTCTATAATTATGTTTTTCTTTTATTCTGGATTGAAATCTTGGCTTACCCAATAATTTTATGATATGACAAGCTTCACAATCTTTCTGAACTCAGATATTTCATCTACAAAAGGCAGATAAAATATTAACTTATAGTTTATAAAGATTTTACTAAGTTTTGAATGTTTTATTTTTCTGATGCTCTAAATGTATATGCTTACTCTGCCTGTTAAATAGTCCAGTACTGATGTTAGGGATAATAAAATGTATTCATAAGATTTTCTCTGACAATTAAATGAACTAACCTATAGCCAAGAACGTAGTAGAGTCATAGACACTTAGTTGGTGCTCAGTAAATAAATATCACTTGTCCTGCCCTTGGTTCTTCAGCCCTGGTAATAAGAGATAGATAGCATGGTCATTGTGAATAATTTGCATCTGCACTAGAATAATTATGTTCAAGTTCTAACTCTAAATAATTTCTTTGTGCATATCAGCAAGCTTCTTACCTCTAAGAGTCTCATTTTTTTCCAAACTTTTGGGTGTGATACGAGATGGCCTGAAGACACTCTAGTTTTAAGACCCTTACGCTAGTGTCTTGGAAATCAGGCTGCCCTCAGAGCTCCAGAGCCCCAAGAGTCAACTGGCACTTGCACCTTCTTTTCAAGTTCTTTTCTGAGAGATGACAAATTGGCAGGTCCTTATGGTAGTTCTTGTTTAGTAAGTACTTACAAAGTAAAACTGTTTCTTGTTTGTCCAGATCTATAGGAATTTTTACTGTGTTTTACAAATGAGAAATTTAAAACTTGAACTAATCAAATAATTTTCTTAATGACATTCAGGCAGGGAAGGAGCTGGTTTTGAACCTACGTCTGGCCGTAGGGTGGCAAAATGTTCCAGTTTCCCAAAACTGAGGTGCTTTCCCCGGTGCAGGACTTTCAATGCTAAAACAACTGGTCACTAGGATGGTCACCCTATTTGCCAACCTAAGTAATTTAGGCTTTTAATAGTTATGCTATTTTACATCTTGAAATCCATTTGAGTTGTGACAAGGTTAGTGGAAAGAGCCCTAATCTGAAAATCAGTGGGAATCGATGGGTTTGGGATTCAATCTAGCTCTGTTGTTGACTTAATGCATTCTTTCTGGGCTTCAGTTCTTCTATTAAAAAAAAAAAATTAAGAGTTTAATATATTGCTCCCTCTAGGACAACTTAATTCTCACTCTTAATTTCTTTGAAACCTCTAGAGGTAGAAATGACGGGGCACAGAGAAGCTTTGAGCCCTTGAACTTACCACACCCAGGGGACCCTTAAAGCCCAGCTTTATAGAGCTCAGAGCAGGGAGTGAGCGGAGGCTGGCAGTGGGGCTGTGTGGAGAGTTTGTGGTGTCCTTGGTATTTCTCCCCTCAGTGGACATTTCACCTGCCTCTCTCATCTCATCCACCAAAGCCAGCCTGTGGAGGTAAGTGGGAACCTCAGCTCTTTCCTCACAGAGGCTCTCAGGAACCGAATGCATTGTTTCAAAATCTTAAAGAGATTAGGGTACAAGGATTTGAGGAAGGAAATGCTGTTTGTAATTTAAGTTTAGAGATTTTTTCCCTGCACCCCACTTAAGTTTGCACACTCATACTCCTCATTTATAGCTGTTGGTGCCTGAAATATGACTATTTTGGCCTTATTCTTATAGCTATACAGATCCTAGCATGCATACACCTGGCTCAGAGGGGCACCTTCTGAAGCTTTTGTTTGGTGCGAATGCTTCAGTGTGATTAACTCATACTCCAATATTCTCATTAAAGAGTGAATAAAATACTGAGACAAAAGAAGAGAGCTTCTAATGGGGAAATGGGAAATGGAAAGACAGTTTGAAGACAGGACTGGGATTCTCAGCCACTAAATATCCCTCTTCACCATAACTTTCTTGGTTGCCATTTATTCAGTATATATGCCTTGCACTGGGGAACATGAATATACACTTTAAATGTTTTACTCTACTTTACTTTTTCTATTCTGTAGATGTGAAAATAACATATGATGAAGGTAACTAAATTCTCAGCTGGTATGTGGCAAAGCTGAGATTAAAACTTAGTTATTAGATGTTAGGGGAGTTATTTTACTTATCTAGTTATTTTACACTTAAAAATGTTGCTCTTGCTTGAATATATTTTTCCTAAGATAGTTTATCTATTTAGTCAATATTTTAAAAATTAAAATCCAAACTGGTAATCCTTGAGTCCTAGTCTAGAGCTCTATATACCCAGTCACTTGTCTAAGCATTGAGAATAAAATGAGAAGAAACACAGGAAATTATGGTAGTTTATAATTTGTTGGGAGAGAAAGATATTGATCAAATAACCAAACAATAGATAATAATGCACTATAATGTAAAGTACGATAAGAAGAGCCACAAAGAAAAATACGTGTGAGGCTGCATAACAGGGACAGCCATGATCAGAGAAGTAATGAATGAATGATTACGATAATTGGAGATGACAAGTCCCTAGGTAGTGCTGCTGCATCTACATGCCGTGGTAACGACCTTGAATTCTTAGTAATACTTAAGTTCTTATTTCAAAAGGTAAGGTGCATGATTCAGAGATTTTTAGTAGGAATGTAATGTCATTTTATTTATTATTATAGACAAAAACTTCGGCTGCTTTGTGGAGAATGGATTAGAGAGAATCATGACTAAGCTGGGCAATCAGTCAGAAAGGTACTGCAGATATCCCCAGATAAAGATGCTGAGGGATGGTTTTGGCTGGAAGTGAGATAGAGAGGAGAAACCAGGGTTGAGTATACACTGGATGGGTGACATTAGATAAATAGACTTGTGAATGGGATAGGGTGAGAGATATCAAGGATGCCTCCTAGATTTTTCTGGCATAAATATATGGCTAGACAATGATAGGTTTTAATGAGATTATGACTATGAAGATCAAGCATGGAAATTGATAAAGAGTTCAACTTTGCATTGAGATGCCAATGAGTTCTTACACTTGATAGTCAACTAGGGAATTGGATGCATGAATTTATAGCAAGAAGAGAAGCCTGGGCAGGAGACATAAATCTGGGATCATTGCTGTTCAGAGGAGAGACAAAGAGGACATTACAAGTAGAAAATAATTTTGAGAACATTAGTTGTGAAAGGGAGCAGAGAAATGGGTGCTTACTAGAAGGACATGAGGCAATAAAGAGGTTTGCTATTGTGGTTTGTTTGTTTCCTATGATAGTAACTCCTAAAATTGATCCTCAGAGAAGAGGAAGTGTTAGGAGGAGGGACATATTTGAATGCTAATAGGAGTGATTTAAACCCCTAATCCTCAAACTTGGCTATCTAATAGAATTGCCTAGGAGTTCAAACATATGCTGATTCCTGAGTTCCACCTGCAGAAATTATGATTTAATTGATATGAGTTTGGTCTGAGCAAAGAGGTTTTTAAAAGCTCCTGAAGGGAGTCTAACATAAAGCAGAGTTTGAGAATCTTTGGTCTGAACAGAGAACAAAATGTGAGCATATGGGAAAAGAAACAAAAACCATCAGGCACAGAGGAGAGTGAGGTTCTGGATGACCAGTGCATAAGAGAGGGGCCCAAGCAACAAAGAAAGGACGAGGAACGGGAGTGATGCTCTAGTGTAGGCGAGAGAGGAGAGGCAGCTTAGAAGATGAAAAAAAAGTGCTGTTACTTTCACAAGAGGGAGTAAATCAACAGGTGGAGAGGATTAAGGAAAAAACTTCACAGAGGACATACTGTACCTCACTTATTGAAGAATCTGATGGCAAAGAACTGGTAAAGAGAAATGGAAAAAAACATGTTTCATCTTTAGAGAAAGTTTTGAACCTATATAAAAATATACAAACACAGAAAGAATAAGGGATAATGTCTAAAATTGAGGCAAAAGATTTCTATGGGGTAGGTTCCAGAGCCCATGGCAGATCTGCCAGACTGTGAAGGGTCTGAAATGTAACCTGCTTATTTCTAAACTTTTCATGATCTTTGATGTTGGAATCTAAGCATCACTATCCCTCCTATCCTGAGACAGCTTCCACTCCTGTTCTTCACTTCTTCCATTGTTTGATCTCCCTTCACTCTGGTTGCATTTCTCCAAAAGTCACTCAGAAACCAGATGGGAAACTTTGGGACTAACATGTCAAGTACCACCAGCTTCACTCTAACAGGTTTTCCAGAGATGAAGAGCCTGGAGCACTGGCTGGCTGCCCTTCTCTTGCTACTTTATGCTATCTCTATCCTTGGTAACACCCTAATCCTCTTTATCATAAAGGAAGAGCAGAGCTTGCACCAGCCAATGTACTATTTCCTGTCTCTTTTGTCTGTCAATGACCTGGGTGTGTCCTTTTCTACATTGCCTACTGTCCTGGCTGCAGTGTGTTTTCAAGCCCCAGCAATTGCTTTTAATGCCTGCCTGGCCCAGATGTTTTTCATCCACTTTTTCTCCTGGACAGAGTCTGGGATCCTGCTGGCCATGAGTTTTGACCGCTACGTGGCCATCTGTAACCCCTTGCGCTATTCCACAGTCCTCACTGATACCCGTGTGGCCCACATTGGCATATCCATCATCACCCGCAGCTTCTGCATGGTCTTCCCACTTCCCTTCCTCCTGAAGAGGCTGCATTTCTGCAAGACCAATGTGCTGACCCATTCCTACTGCCTTCACCCAGACTTGATCCACCTGCCCTGTGGAGATACTACCATCAACAGCATGTATGGCCTGTTCATTGTCATCTCTGCCTTTGGTATAGATTCAGTACTCATCTTCCTCTCCTATGTTCTCATTCTACACTCTGTGCTAGCCATTGCCTCCCAGGAAGAGAGGCTTAAGACACTCAACACATGTGTGTCACATATCTGTGCTGTGCTAATCTTCTATGTGCCTATGGTTAGTGTGTCCATGGTCCATCGATTTGGGAAGCATGCCCCTGAGTATGTGCACAAGTTCATGTCCCTGGTCTATCTCTTTGTGCCTCCAATGCTCAATCCAATTATCTATTCTATTAAGACTAAGGAAATTCGCAGGAGGCTACACAAGATGTTACTGGGACCTAAGCTCTGATCAGGGAAAACCTCCTGGAAAACAAAATACTTAGGAATTCTTTGTTATTGCTGATGTTTGGGCTTACTAGACTGGTCCTTTGGAACCTTTTAATCTCCTTCGAGACATGGACCTAAAATTGGATTACTGCTATTAGTTATATGGAATTGGCTAACTCATAACTCGAAATATCAGGCTGCCCTACCTTGTAATTAATCATGTAACAGGTTGCCACAAATGACTTCTCTCAGACCCTACAAGGAAGAGGTCTTGAATTAGATCCTTTTTTGTCCCAATATACTAGTAACATCTACGCCTTTCAAGTAGATTCTCAAAAATAAACACGCAAAAACTGATGTGTATATTAGCTACAGCATGCTATAATTGGGGATTGTGTTACTTGAGACCATAGGTATACCTAAGAATTTTTAAAAGAACAGTCATTTTCAATATCTTTAAACTTTAACAATAGTCATTTTAAATATCCTTAAACTTTAAAAATACAGAGGGAGGGCCAAGATGGCAGATTAGAAGCAGCTTGCTCAAGATGGCAGATTAGAAGCAGCTTGCTCATGCCAGGCTCTCTAGGAAAAGATCAAAAACTACAAGTAGATGCCCACTTACAGATGGACCTTTTAGGAGAGAGCGCTATAAATCATCAGAGAACTGACAAGATAATCAGAGTGAAGGAACAGGAATGGGGAGTTCTGCTTGCCAAGATTAGAAGGTACCTGAGGGAGACTCCTACACATAGGAGAGGGATAAAGGGGAGAACCCCAGGGCCCCACACACTCAGCACGGACACTGAAACTTGAGCTGTGGACAGGGACCATCACCACTGCCACGAGCCTCCATACTGATCAGGGAACTGCTTGGAGATTTTATAGTAAAGATGCATTGGAGAGTGGGTTCAGTAGAGTCCCACTGTCTTGTGTGGGGATAGAGCCCGAGCCATCCAGCAGCCCAGCCCCTAACGTCTTGTGCACCAACCAGTGGAACAACCCCCCAGCACCATACACTGCCATGCCAAGGCTCACTAATCCACAAAGCCACCTCCTTGCAGCAGGGCATACCCCTCACCTTGCATGTACACCCCTGCAGACTGGCAACCTCTGTATCAGGCCCTATCTTTTGGTTTTGTGTGCCAGCTGGCAAGCTACACTCTCACAGCACCAAACATTGACCAATAGAGCAAGCCCCCAGCCCTGCACACCAGTGGTGAGGTACACCCCCATGGTACCACCTAACAACATGCCTGTGGTACAACTATCTACCACAGACCTGCCAGCCAAAAGCCATTCCCATCATGTAGCACCATACGTAGACTAGAGCAAATGCCAGAAGCCCTGAATCTTGTTGCCTAGATAACCTCAACAAACAGCCACTACCACCATAGTGGAGAGATCTGGGCAGAACAATCTCCCACAGTACCTGCCTCAGCAGACAGGGACTAGTCCTCAAAATCTATGGGATACAGCAAAGGCAGTTCTGAGGGGAAAGTTCATAGCCTTAAATGCCTCTACCAAACAGACAGAAAGATCACATGTTAATAACCTAATGTCATATCCCAAGGAACTAGAAAAAGAAGAATGAATCAAACCCAAAACCAGCAGAAAAAAAGAAATAACAAACCACAGAGCAGAACTAAATGAAATATAATCAAAAAAAGAAAAAAATACAAAGTATCAATGAAACAAAAAGTTTGTTCTTTGAAATGATAAACAAAATTGATAGATCAGTCAATTTAACCAGAAATAGAAGAGAAAGGACTCAAATAGGCTCAATCAGAGATGAAAAAGGAGACATTGCAACTGATACTGCAGATGTTCACAAAATATCGTCTGTGAATAATATGAAAATCTCTATGCACACAAACTGGAAAACTTAGTGGAAACAGATACATTGTTGGAAACACACAACCTCCCAAGACTAAATCAAGAAGAAATGGATATCCTGAACAAACCAACAATGAGAAGTGAGATTAGCGCAATAATGAAAAATCACCTCCCCCCAAAATCCCCAGACCAGATGGATTCACAGCTGAATTCCATGAGACCTAGAAAGAAGAACTGGCACCTATCCTACAGAAACTATTCCATAACATTGACAAGGAGGGAATCCTTCCTGACTTATTCTACAAAGCCAGATCACCCTGATACCAAAGCCAGTACAACAATACAACAACAACAACAAACTACAGATAAATATCCCTTATGAACAAAGATGCAAAAATCCTCAACAAAATATTTGCAAACTCAATTCAACAGCACATCAAAAAGATAATTCACCATGATCACATGGGTTTCATTCCAGGGATACAAGCATGGTTTAACATATGTAAATCAATAAACCATGATTCACCAATGAACAGAAGCAAAAATAAAGACCATACAATCATCTCAACAGATGCACAAAAAATATTTAACAAAATCCAGCACTTTCTCATGATAAAAAAAAAAAACCTCAAAAAAAAATCTAGGCATAGAAGGAACATACTTAAAAATGATAAAAGCCATACATGGTAACTCCATAGCAAACAAAATACTGAATGGAGAAAAGTTGAAAGCATTCCACCTAAGAATGGGAACAAGATAAGGGTGCCCACTTTCACCACTTCTAGTCAACACAGTACTAGAAGTCTTAACAATCAGGCAAAAGAAAGAAATAAAGAGTATACAAATTGGGAAAGAGGAGGTCAAACTATTACTTTTCTTTAACAATAGATCTTGTATCTAGAAAATCCCAAAGACTCCACCAAAAGACTCCTGGAATTGATAAATTAAGCAATGTCCTAGGGTACATAATCAACATACACAAATGAGTAGCATTTCTATATATGAATTACAGTCAAGCTGAGAGTCAAATCATGGACTCAATATTATACTATTTGTAATAGCCACAAAAAATATCCAAGAATATACCTAACCAATGAGGTGAATGATCTCTACAAGGAGAATTATGAAGCACTGATGAAAACATTGCAGATGACACAAACAAATGGAAAAATATTGCTTGCTCATGGATTGGTGGAATCAACATATTTAAAGTGTCCATACTCCCCAAAGTGACTTATAGATTCAATGCAATCCCCATCAAAATACCAATGTCATCATTTCACAGATCTAGAAAAAATAATCCTAAGCTTCATTTGGAACCCAAAAAGAGCCTGAATAGCCAAAGCAATCTTAAGCAAAATGAATAAATCTGGAGGCATGACATTACTCAACTTCAAATTATACTACAAGGCTATAGTAACCCAAACAACATGGCACTGGTATAAAGCTAGAGACATAGACCAATGAAACAGAATAGAGAACCTAGAAATAAAACCATCTACCTACAACCAACTGATCTTTGACAAAGCAGATAATAGCATACACTGAGAAAAGGAAGCTCTATTCAATAAATGGTGCTGGGAAAATTGGATAGCCTCATGAAGAAGAATGAAACAAGACCCCATATTTCTCACCATACAAAAAAAAAATGAATTCGAGATAGAGAGAAGACTTCAATTGAAGACATGAAACCATAAAAAATTCCAGAAAAAATGTAGGAAAAACTCTTCTATACATTGGCCTAGGTAAATAATTTATCACTAAGACCCCAATGGGAAATACAGCAAAAACAAAAATAAAAAAATGGGAATTAATTAAATTTAAAACCTGAACAGCAAAGGAAATTATGAACAGAATGAACAGACAAGCTACTGAATAGGAGAAAATATTCTCAAACTATACATGCATTACAAAGGACTAATATCCAGAATATACAAAGAACTCAAACAAATCAGCAAGAAAAAAAATGAAAAACCACATCATAAAATGGGCAAAAGACACAAGCAGAAGTTTTTCAAAATAGGGTAAACAAATGGCCAACAGACATAAAAAATTATCTGTATTACTAATCATCAAATTAAAACTACAATGAGATACCACCTTACCCCTGTCAGAGTGGCCATTATTAAAGAGTCTAGAAATAATAGATGCTATCTTGGATGCAGAGAGAAACGAATGTTTATACACTATTGGTGAGACTGCGAATTAGTATAATCTCTAAGGAAAACAATATGGAGATTTCTCAAAGAAATAAATGTAGACTTACAATTTGACCCAGAAATCACATAACTAGTACTCAAAGGAAAATAAGTCATTTTATCAAAAAGACACCTACACTCAAATATTTATCACAGCACAATTCACAATTGCAAAGATGTGGGATCAACCTGAGTGCCCATCAATTCATGAGTGGATAAAGTAAATATGATACACACACACACACTACATGGAATACTCCTCAGCCATAAAAAGAATGAAATAATGTCATTTGCAGCAACTTGGGTGGAACTAGAGACGATTATCCTAAGTGAAGTATCTTATATGTTATCCTAATAAGTGGGAGCCAAACAATGGATACACATGGGCCCAAAGCAACATAAAGGACAAGGGAAACCAAGAAGGGGGACGGTTTGGAGAGAGGTGAGGTATAAAAACTCCCCTCTGTACTATTGGGTACAATGAACACTATTTGGATGAGAGGCAAACTAAAAACCTTGACTTAATCAAAATATAAGGCACCCATGTAACCAAAACACTTGTACCTCCTTAATATGTTGAAACAAAAAAATTAAAATTAAAAAAAATAAAGATATACAATAGCCATGACCAAGTTTACACTTCTGAAATAAAAAAGAGCACTACAAATTCTGTAAAATGGAATACAAATTCTTGTTACACCGACTATGCAATATAAACCACATTAGATCTGAAATTGATATGTTTAGAGCAAGGAGAAATGCTTTGTGAAAAAGTCTTATGTTGCCATACCTTGCACATGACTAGATGGAGAATTAAATTTCTTCTAAGGATTTAGTAAGCATGCTAAATGGAAAGCTGATTGATAGAAGGGCAAGTTTGCTTCAGTAGCAGTGGTGGCTTGGCCCCACAGTCTGCTGGAACATGGGCTCATGTCCTACAGTGAGCAGCCCAGCCCAGAGACTTCAGCACATGCTAAGGCAGAGGAAG